AAGATAGGTATTCACAAACTCAAAGTCTTCAATTGTTCTAGGCTTAAGTGTAAAAGAGTACAGTTTCTGATATTTGTTCTTTTCCAGGAGGTCAGAATTAAGAAATTCTTTATTTGGAATGTACGGTTCTCTTTTGATTTGGTCCAGGTACCAGATTCCTTCTTCCTCTCTCAAACGGAAGATGCCAGGTACCTGAGGCTGATCCTTCCCAGAAACTAGCTCCAGAGGCTGCCATATCTGGTAGGAGCATGGAAACCCAGCATCCACCATGTAATTCTTGCCACTGAGGGTCACTTGCAATATGAGGTGAACCATCTCTTTGCTATACCTGCCAGCTGTAGAGTTGTAAACATAACCTCCCAACATTGTGGTCTCAAATCCCATTGTGGCCAGAGCCCAATGCAGGAGGCCATTGAGCTGGAGACACCAGCCACCTCGCTTCTTCCTTACAAGCTGATCAAAAATGGTCTCTAAGTCCAACACCATGGATTCTCCACAATGCAGGTTAAGATCCTCATAGGGAATGGCTTGGATCTGGTGATAGAGGATGTCAGTTAGTGTCTGCAGATCTAATTTCCTCCTAGACTCTGAATATCCAATTCTTTGAAAATATGCTTCAATATCCATGAGATCCTAAAGCAAGGAAATGAAATGAAACAAAGGGGAGAAAAACACTGTTACTTTTTTTTTACTTGGAATTTCTTAGGTAATATTTTCTTATTGTTGTATTGCATTTTTAATATTTCATTACAATCAATGGTTACAAATATATGTAGTTATTAATTTGTTTAAGCTGTTATATATTCTCACTGAAAGTCACTTAATAGTTTCGCTATCCCTGTCAGTTAAGTATAATATCATCTTTAATTTTTCTTCCTCCATATTTTAAACATTAAGTAAATAGAAATCCATATGAAGAAATTAATCCATATAGTATATATAAGCAAATAGTTTATATATGACTTCCTTGATTATGAATAAAAAAGTGATTAAAATGCCATTAATTAAAATAAAGCTCATAAGGAATGTGAGAAGCATGAATGTAGGAAAGTTTGACATTGTTACAGAAGAAATGGAGTGCATAAATATTAATATACTAGGTATTGACGACATGAGATGGATTGGCATGGGGCATTTTGAATCAGATGATCATATGATCTACTATGCCTGAGATAAGAAGGTGAGGAAAAATGGGTTTGTTTTCATAGTTCAAAAAGTCATCTCTAGATCCATCTTGAAATACAGTGTTGTGACAGGATAATATCTATATGCAGATAAGGAAGCCCTGTGAATACCACTATCATTCAAATATATGCACCAACAACTATAGCCAAAGAGGAGGAAATGGAGGACTTCTACCAAATTTTGTGGTAAGAAGTCAATCAAACATGCAATCAAGATGCATTAATAAAATAGGTGACTGGAATGCAAAAGTTGGAAACAGAAAAAGAATCAATAGTAAGAAAAGAAAACATGGACTTGTTGACAGAAATGATGTTGGAAACAGAATGATAGAATTCTGTACAATCAATCAATGGCCTATGCATTGCAAATACTTATTATAAGAAACATAAACACAGACTATGTGCATGGATTTCACCTGATGGCATGCAAAGGAATCAGATCAACTACATCTGTGGGAAGAATATCTGGAAAAGCTTGATGTCAACTATGAAGACTAGGTCAGGTGTTGAGTGTGGAACAGACCACCAACTACTCATATGAAAGCTCAAGTTGAAGTTGAAGAAAATGAAATCCACAGGAACCAAAATTTGACCTTGAGTCTATCCCACTCGAATTTCAAAACTATCTTAGCAACAGGTTTGAGGCCTTGAACACCGAAGAGCAAAGACCAAATGAGTTGTGAGAGGATATCAATAATATCACCCATGAAGAATGCAAAAGATCTTATAAAGGCAGAGGAGGGAAAAAAAGATCAAGATGGATGTCAAATGAAACTCAGAATATTGCACTAGAGTGCCGAGAAGCCAAAGAAAAAGGAAGAAATAAAAAAATCACAAAAGTAAGAAGCTGAACCGAAGATTTCAAAGGGCAGCACAGGAAGACAATGCAAAAATGTGCAAAGATCTGGAGTCAGAAAATCAAAAGGGCCAAACTCTCTTAGCATTTCTTAGCTGAAAGAATTGAAGAAAAAGTCAAGCCTCGAGTTGCAATGCTTAATGATGCTCTGGGCAGAATACTGAATGATCCAGGAAGCATTAAAAGAAGACGGAAGGAGTATACAGAGTCACTGTACCAGAAGGAATTGACTGACACAGAAGAACTTCATGAAACAATGTATGAGCAAGAGCTTATGGTGATAAAAGAAGTTCAAGCTGCTCTGAAGGAATTGGCAAAAAAAAAGGCCCCAGGAGTTGATGGCATACCAAATGACAAATTTCAACAGACAGACACTGCCCTGGATGTGCTCACCAAGAGGTGTCAAGAAATCTGGTGGACAAACACCTGGCCAACTGACTGGAAGAGATCTATATTTGTTCTCATTCCAAAGAAAAGTGACCTGACAGAATGCAGAAATTTAAAAAAAAATATATTAATATCACATGTAAGCAAGATTCTGCTTAAAATTTTCCAAAATGACTGAAACAACACAGCAACAGAGAACTGCCAGATGTGCAGGTGTGGTTTAGAAAACGTCATAATACTAGGGATATTGTAGCTGGTGTTAGATGCATCTTGGCTAAAAGCAGAGAGCACCAGAGGAATGTCTATCTGTGTTTCATTGACTATGCAAAGGCATTCGACTGTCTGGATCACAATAAAGTGTGGCTGTCTCTAAGAAGAATGGGAATCCCAGAACACTTGATTGTGCTTATGCAAAACCTAAACTTGGATCAAGAGGCAGTCGTCAGAACAGAGCAAAGAAACACTGCCTGGTTCAAAATTGAGAAAGGTGTATGCTAGGGATGTGTCTTATCTCCACACATTTTCAACCTATTTTTGGAACAGATCGCCCAGGAGTCTCAGCTCTACGAGGAGGATTGTGGCATCAGGATTGGAGAAAGATTCATCAACAACCTGCATTATGCAGATGACACAACCTTGCTTACTGAAACTGAGGAGGACCCGAAGCACTTACTGTAGAGAGTCAAGGACTGAAGCTCAAGATAAGGAAAACAGATTCTCACCACTGGGCCAATTAGCAGCATCAGTGAAGTGATTGGAATTGTTAAAAGCTTTAATTTGCTTGGCTCTACAATCAACACTGTTGGTACAACAGCCAGAAAATCAAAAGATGAATTACATTGGGAAAGTCAGGGGCCTCTCCGGAGTGCTGAAGAGCAATAATGTCCGTATGGAGACTACAGTGCGCCTGATCCAGGCCATGGTCTTTACAATTGCTTGCTATGCATTAGAAAGCTGGACAATGACTAAGGATGATGGAAGGAGAATTAATGCCTTTGAACTGTGGTGCTGGAGAAGAGTGTTGTATATACCATAGACTGCAAAGAGAAAAAATATGTTCATCCTAAAGAAGGTGAAACCAGGCTGCTCCTTGGAGGCAAGGATTCTAAGACTTTGTCTGAAATAATTTGAGCATGTTACAAGGAAGGACCAATCCTTGGAGAGGGACATTAAGATTTAGAGGGTGAAGGGACAGCAGAGGGCAGAAGGGGAAGACCCCCAATGAGATGGATTGACTCAATGACTGGAGTAATGAGGGTGGGTGTTTCAGAGTCAGTAAGGTAGGCTCAAGATAGAGCTGGATGCAGAGCGGTTGTACATCGGGTTGCTATGAGTTGCAAGAAACTTGACAGCACATATCAATTACAACAACAACAAAAACGAAAGAGTTCCTTGTATCAAGAAGAGATACAGAAGAGTACATTGCATCAACGGTACATGCTCCACTTAATTTTCCCCTGAAACTTTCTCAAAGTTCCACATTAGGAAGACAGCATAGACCTATTCTTAGGATAGTTCTTTTTACTGGACATCATGGCTTTTCTCCTCCTGGTTGAGCTTTACACAGTTATTTAAGGTCTACATGGTTTTTATTGTGAATGAGCCCTCTGGTGAGAGACTATGATAGTAATGGGGCACCACAGATATGTGAATACTTGGGGTTCCATGGTGGTCTGCCATCCATTCATCTTTTATAGCAATCTTTCAATTTCTGATTAGGAATTGCCCTTTCTTATTAATTTCCATTAATTTTTTTAGTCCATTCAATAAATCACATACCAAAAGGCTATTCTCTAGGTTTTCTAGAGCTGCTATAACAAGATGCCTCAAGTGGACAGGTTTGACAAACAAACATTTCTTTTACTCCACTTTGTTGCTGTTACGTGCTGTCAAATTGGAATCAACTCATAGTAGACCCCTTACAGGTTTTCATAGGTTGTAAATTGCATGGGAGACCTCTCATCTTTCTGCCACAAAGCAGCTGGTGGATTTGAACTGCTTGATTTTGAGTTGGCAGCATGGCTTCTTCCCACTTTAAGGGGTTGGAAATACAAATTTAGGATCTGGCTCATGGAGAATGCTCTCACTGTGTGGGTTTTGTTTTTATGTTTGTTTTGTTGGGTTTTTTTTGTTTGTTTCCCAGCAGAACTCTGTTTGACCTTTTCACTTGTAACGAGTTGGAATAGGAAACAGATATCTTGCTTCACTCTCCTAGAATTGCAGTGATGCCCACACTAGTAAACAGTGATTGAAGTGCATCCCCCCTTACACTCCATACTCTCCCAGTGATTAGAATTACAGCTCCCCTGCTCCTAGCCAATTGTATGTTGTGATGCCCCATAATAAGTCTTCCTCATTTGGGAATCTGCTTGGTCCACTTGCCTTGATTTTCCAGGAACCTGTGACACACATCCACAGGTGGAAAATTGCATACTCACCAGCTCTTGGTTTGGGAAGCTCTGCTCTCATGGGTTATACACCACATACCCAAGCTCCTGAGTTGGCAGCATGCACACACTGTCACACGACAGCTCTCTGTGGTCGGTGGTGGTACACGCTGCTGTAAACTGGGCTCTCCACAATTGTTATCTCTAGCAAAACCTATCCCTACAGATGCTGTGCCGGACACACCATTTCCACAGCTGGAGACAAATGTTTGTACTTCCTGCAATACAACTTTACCTCTTCCCATGCTTTTGTTTGTTTCTTTTTAATCATCCTACTTACCTATTTTTTTCCTTATTTTTTTAATTTTAGTTTCCACCTTCCCTCTCAATCTGGTAGGAAGCAATGATGATGCCAAATTCCCAGCCACACCTCACCTGCTGCCCCACCCATTGGGCAAGTGTATACAGTACTTCCTGGATTGGTAACAGATGACAGCCAACACACACCCAGTTCACCTTCAGGTGATCTATACAACCAGTGCAAAGACCAATTCCTACCCTCCCATCTGCTAGCTAATCCACTCAGAGCTCTTAAGTGCTTACTGTTGTCAAACTAATTACCACAGTGCTAAACCTGCTACACCAAACCAGGTGTACAAATAAAATAAAAGGATAAATCAGGGTAAAGCAAGACGGGTGTGATCTACAAAGAAGTACAAAAAACCTATAAAGCCAATCAAACTAAACCCTGATTTCTTAACAAAAACTATCCTAGTAAAAGGGAAATATGATGACATCTTTTTAAAATAGTCT